GCCCGGGCCTGCGGGCAAAGGGAGGGTGGGTGGGACCTCAGGTCCTCCCGCTGCCTCCTCTGCACACCCCTGCGCAGCCACCCCTAAGGATGTCTCTGTCAGTGCCCCTAAGCACACTTAAGACAATCGGTGGTATGGAAGGTCCCAACGTGGAGAAGAAAAGCAAGCAGAGGACATGGGCAAGGGCGGGGGTGTGAGGCAACCAGCCTAGGTCACAGTCAGGACCCTCGTCCAGGCCCGACTCCAAGACCCAGAGTCTTTTCTACCACTATGCATGCTAGCTCGGCAGTGGGCCCTGGGAACAGACAGCTCTGTGGCTGCCCTTGCTGACATGAAGTGTTACCAACCAGGGCACTGCATGGGGAGGGTAGCCCCTGACCAAGCCCCCTGCCCTGTGAAGGATCCCAGCCCAGTCAGGCACTCCTCCACAGGCCCATTCTTGGTGACAGAAAAGGGGAGGTGGGTCCTCCCCGCTCCTCTCTGCTGACCCACTCACAGTGTCCCCAGTGCCTGGTGCTCTCTCACCTTTGAACAGGCTGACCTCCAGCTCCAACCTGCCTCCTCAGCTGGACAGGGACAGGGCCTTGGCCACCCTGCCTCTCCTCTACACACCCAGTGTCCTGTGTGCCACCTCCTAGGTCTGCTTCATCTATCTGCCCAGTGCCTGGCTCAGAGCGAATTGGTGTCCATGGATTCCACAGTCTGCACCCCACAACCTGGGCTGGAATCCAGCCATGTCAGACCTGGGCTTGGTGAGGACAGGCCTAGAGGTGGCACCAACCACTCCAGAGTCTCTGTGCCAAGATGCTCTGGGAACAGGATGGTGGAGCAGAGGAGGATTTAGATAGCCTGGGATACTGTCCCAGGCACTGAGACACAGCTATTCTTCCAGGTGTGAAATCTCCCTAAAGCCCAAGGTTCCAGTCCAAACCATCCACTGTCAGATACCAAATGGAGAGAGGGCAAGGGACTCCCAAGGTCACAGAAGCTGTCATGGCTAGTCCTTCTGACAAGCCAGGTCTACAGCACAAAGACGCAGCCTTTCCCCAGGGAGAAGACAACAGCAGTTAGAACTCAGAGGGATTTGGCCAAAGAACTCACAAGGCCCAAGGGGCACAGATGAGAGGCCCAGGCCTTGGTCTTGGAGGCTGTAACATCAAAGCCAGGCCCTGTAGCCTAAGCAGGAAGAAATCTGTGTCCCTACTGAGTACTGACTATGCCCCAGGTGGTTCTAGAGGCCAAGGTGACCTGCGAGGACAGAGACAGATGGAAGCAGGGCGAGCTCTGTGGGCCAGGCCCCGTGGCGAGGCCCCAGGTGGGAGAGGGTGCCGAGCAGTCAGGGGAATGGCTGGGGACGGAGAGGCTTGTGGTGACTCCATCCAGGGGGAGGCGGTGGGGCCCGAGAGGAAGCACACATTCCCATGGCCAATCTGTGAGGTTCCAAGGGTGGGATGTCTTGGAGTCTCTTCTGCCTTCCATTCCCCAGCACCGGATGCTCAGCCTGGAGGTAGCCTGTTGCCCCTCTGACAAGACTGGACTGTGTGTGACCACAACTCCTAGAAGAGATGTCTGGCTTCACTGAGAAGGTGGCCCTCACATCACTGGGAGAAGCGCACGAAGGCCATAGGGCCCTCCCAGCCCGGGCTGGGGCCTCTGTGGGCTGCTCCGGCAACAATCCCTTCAGCCACTAGGTGGCAGCACACAAGGCTCAGCTTGCCTGCCAATGCTGCTGGCCCCTACGGCTCCCCACAGCCAGTTGAACTCACCAGGGCCCGGGCCCCTCCCACCCCTTCCCCAAAGCAGGGAAAAGCCCAGGCTTTCATTGGCATGGCAGGCAGAACTGGCAAGCAGGATCTTTTGCAGGGTAATCCCCATGGGAGCTTAGGGGACCCTCACACTTTCTGACCCTCCGGGGGTTAGTATTTGCTCCTGCAGACTGCCTAAGTCCTGTAATTATGCTTCTGGCAGAGTCCAGCAGTGACAGTGCCTGAGAAAGTGGCAGGCCCAGAAGGAAACCCGTGACTCGGTGAGCCTCCTCCAGCCTCACCTTCCCTACCTGCACAGTCATAGGACCTGCTCCACTCCAGCTTAGCACAGTGCCCAGCATGCAGCAAGTGCTCATTTAGTACCAGATTTACCCATGGGTGGTGGGCTTATGAGCAATAATAATGTTTCTAATGTATGCTGTATATACATTAACATCTCTTTCTTTACAATTTCTAATATATTACTTTTAAAAAAGGATTTACCCTTCCTCTTCCTCCTTCCTTCCCTCCCCAGATGAAGACTTCTTTGTGGTGGAATCTAGGTCTGTCTGGTGAATTAAAAATAACTGCAGCCAACATGTTAATTGTACTTAAGTTCATTTACGTGCAGAAACAGTCCCCTGTCGACCCTTTCCAGTGTCAGGGCTGACTGAGGGTCTGACGTGCACAGAGGACAAAGCAAAAGGTCAAAGTGCCGTAGGCAAGTTATTTAACATCTGTGTCCTGTTTTTCACGTATAAGATGGCAATAATGGCACCTATCTTGTGGGTCCCTGTCCGTTTCACAGGAGCTCCTGGAAGAAGGTGCTGAGTGTAATCTGCTGACTTTACCATACTGCCTCTCAGGGAGTCACAGGGCAATGGGTTCAGCTCAAGCTGACTTCACAACTCCTCCCAAATATCCACATTACTCTCATGCAGCTTCTTTTCTTTTTTTTTTT